TGAAGAGGTATTGTATAAAGAAAACCATATTTATATAACCTGTGTTCATATTTGAAACTTCGAACTTATTTGTAGAGTTGGTTTGATTTCAAGAACACCCTACTTTATTGTTTCCTTAGTTCTTCAGTCTCCTGAAAAAGGAATATTCAAAGTTGCAGGCGCTGGATGGAGGATGGCTCCTCTACAAATCAACAGGTGCGAAAAATGTGTCAAATAACATTCATTGTAATACATTTTCATTTAAATATTGAGCTTAAAGCAACTGAAATGATTCAAACAATGTAAATTACAGGAGGTCAGGGTAAACGAAAACTTATAATGATTCCGCCTGACTCGGACGGATACTCCGGCACACTCCTCCGCAGTGTCACAGGGGCAGGGAAGAACACCCTGTATATTGTCCCTCTGCAGCATGAATTCGACTTAACACCTTTGCCCGCGGATGCTGTAGAGTTCCAGAATATGCCAAAAGCCCAATGCCAAACATGCAAGTTACATTTTCCTCTGCAAATTTTGGCTCTGCATGTCCAGGAGTGTATGGAGGAGTGTCTATCATCGGAAGAAGACATTGAGGTAAATGTGGGCATGAAATATATGTAATGTTGCATTTTTAATAGTACAACTTGCTTTAAATATTTTTTTATTCAGTGAGTTATAACATATGTGTTGGTAATATTTTTTGTTTGTTAGACAACAAGTGAGGTGGAAATTGTTTCGGTCGTGCACCCTGTGCAAAACCATACAGAGAAATCTCTTGAAGAGGTAAAGGACTTAATTGTATTGCATTGCACTGTAAAATTGCCTATATAAACTTGATACAGCTGCTAATATTTAAACTTTTACCTCCATCAGAAGGTGCCATGTCCCATCTGCTTCGAGAGCTTCACACCACAGTTTTTAGAAATACATGCAAGCATGTGTGGAGAAAGGTATTTTAGAGCGAGTACATTAAGGTTCATTTTACATGTTTTATATTAACAATATACATCTCCTTTGTACTTTTTTAGAGATCAACATGTCCGTCAGGATGAGAAAACTGACATGGGCCACAACAATGGAAAGGCAATGGAGAGGCAATTCGAAAGGTAAATACTGGGTTCTTCATTCTGCTTAGATCTTCATTCTAAAAAAGCTCTTTATTCAATATTAGTAGTTTACGCCTGTTAATTATGAGTTTTGTTTGGCAGTGTTGATGACGTATTGGACACAATCTCTGGAAGAGTAGACGAAGAGAAACGTTTCAATATACAAATCTCACGAACAAACATTCTCGAAAGAGGCCTTCTACAGTGGCAGCGTCAAAAAGGCAGTTCACCCACAGCTACCCTGAACGTGACCTTCTTTGGGGAGGCAGGAGTCGACACAGGAGCCCTCCGAAAATAATTTCTCACAGGTAAACAAAAACAACCATTTTTGCATTCTTACATTTGACTCTTAATTAAAATAGTCTAGATTTATGGATAATGTCTGAAACTTTGGTTGAAGGGCTGATTAACAAAGACTCATGACATTTTTTTTCTTTTAGTCTTTGTTATATACTACTTAACCTTTTTTGTATTTAAATGGGGTTAGACATTAATAAAATACTTGTAAAATAGTATCCTGATTATTAAAGTAAATGGTCTTTGTACTTGTGTGTAGAAGTGGTGGCAGGAATTGAGGGTCGTTTCTTTGAAGGACCTCAACAGCAGCGGATCCCACGTTACTCTCTGAATGACTTGGACAGTGACCTCTACAGGTTTGTTTACTTTTAAGCATGACCAGTAAGGACCAACTGTTCATTTTTGATAAATGTTATATAACGTAAAAAATGCATTCATGCTCAATCTGTGTTAATAGGACAGTGGGAGAGATTTTGGCTGTTAGTTTGGCACAAGGTGGCCCCGCCCCTGCCTTCTTCAGCCCATGGACTTACAGTTACCTCTGTAGTGGACGTATAAACCAGAAGGTCCTCAACAGTGATTCAGTGGCAGATGTCCAGCTGAGAGAGTTAATTGACCAGGTATGAGTTCTATATTATGTAAATGCTGGGTTAATAAGAAATAAGCATTTATTTTCCAATTATAGTCATAGGTTTATATTGAATATGGTAAAGAGATGTACTTCTCTGTTTTCAGGTTGAGTCGGCGACTGAGCATTCAATGATGATAGGCCTATCTGATGAAATATTGAATTGTGGATACACTGGAAATGTCTCCATTCCAAACAAGGACACCATTGTTCGGTATGCTTGACACTTGTTTATTTTTGTATATTAAAAGAGGTTACATGAGTACCTTTTATTTAGGATTGCATTTACTTTGTAATTTTGTAGTGCCATCATACTCCACGCAGTGCTGCGGCTGCAGCCTATGTTGGAACAACTAAGGGAAGGCTTGCAGCTGTATGGGCTCCTTTCACTGATGAGTCAGTACCCAGATATCTGCCAGCCCTTGTTTGTTTCTGGGGAAGATGTCAAAGTGAGCAGAACAAAAGAGACCATTCTTTACAATTTGATATTTAAAGTTAAGGAGTAAAGAGTACATAATTTACATCTGGATTTGTTCTCATCATAGGTCAATGCAGAGTTTGTCATGACATCCATTCTTCCTCAACTGAGTGACAAAGGGACTACCAGGCATCAGTTTGAGCTGGAGATGATGAACTTCATTCAGGACTTCCTATATGAAGGTATAAAGTTTTCAATGTACTTCTAATGAAGATTTAAGTGTAAGTTGGGTTTTTCAATTTGAAGGCATTGGGCTTGGAAAAACATTAAAATGTCCTTGAATTTAATGTTTAAGATGTTGTAGGAATCCTGAATTACAAAAACTTGATTACCTTTTTTGGATCAGACGTTCTGTGGTTAAAATACCTCAGTACAATTCACTTGCACTAAAGGAAAACTACACTTTAAACTGTCATAACGGTTTTTGTTTATTTTCCTCATAGCTGAAGATCATGGGCATGTAGATACAGATGGCCTACATCCCATCACACCTGCAACGTTTCTGCAGTGGATCACAGGCCAGGGTCACGTCCCACTTCTTCCCTCAGAGAAGAAGGACTTTGCAGTTGTGATCCAATTCAATCATGACTGCAGTGCAGACTTTGGGCATCACAGTGTCTGTTACCCTGTTGTGACAGCATGTGCCAAGACAATCACCTTACCTGTGAGACATATGAGGCCCTATGACAAATTCAAAAACATCCTGACTGAAGCGTTTCAATTAGGCCAAGAATTTAGCAATGTGTAATAAGGTAACCATTAATAACCTCTGTTCCAAGTTAACCTTACTGTTTAAGTGTTAAAGGTTTAGCATTGACTACTTCCAGTCAAGTAATCTTAAAAAAAAATGTAATGGCAGCAATAGAGTGGTGCAGTGATGACGTGTTTTTGTAGGCTGACCCGGAAGTAAGCTGCAAGGGTTCCCTCAACAAAAAAGCAGTGGGATTTCTCCATACTGTAGGATATCCCATTGCTTTTTGTCGAGGGAACCCTTGCAGCTTACTTCCGGGTCGAACTACACAAATACGTCATCACTGCACCACTCGGTTAAACATTTCTTAAAGAAAAACAAACAAATTGATATAATGTTGTAACATGTTGCTACCCAGAACTGTGATATGGAATATAATAAAATGTTAAGGGTTTAAAGGTGTTGATGTTGTTATGACCGGCTCGTAGGCCACAACGGAAAGATGACAAGACGTACACGAGTTTCCATAAACCACGGCACATTTATTGCGGTTGTTCAGTATAAAGTACAAGGTGGATGGACGAGGGGAGAGGATCGCCGTGTTACTCCTCCTGCGGCCGGCTTGGAGAGAGTCAGGGCCGCCATGTGACTCCGGGCAGCTGGGCTTAATAGCACCTCGGCTCCGGCCAGGTGTCCGCGATCGCGCTGATTGGCTTCTTCAGCTCCACCCCACCGTAAGACCTGTAACACACCTGCACACAGGCTCTGGGGCCATCACAATGTCTAAATGGTTAAACCCTTGAAACATGTTTGCATTTAGGATGCATGATTTAATACATGGTTCAATACAGCTAAATAAATGTCTCGGCCGTAGGACCTAGATGGTCTTGTAACATCAATATTGGCCAAAAGTCCTGCCATATCCTGCTCACTGAGGGGACTTTCAACAGGTGGGAGAATCACTCCAGGACTGGTCTCATCTGGCTCACTGGCAGTGTTGAAATCAAGATCTGCATCCTCCATTTCCTTGATAAAAATTAAATATCAGTCATGGATTTTATGGGACCAAGAATAACTTTAAGCACCACAAACACTAGAGAATGTAAAGAATAAAAACAAAACACTTTTTTGCCTTTTCAACTGTACACCTATCAAAAGAGGTGATTTTGAGGTCTTACAAAATGCATTTCAAGTGCAGTCCCATGCTTTGCATTTTACATTAGTAAGCAAGTTTTATGCAATTTTATAGAAAAATATCTATCTTTCATTTATTTGATGCTAGTGATTGTAAATTCCATTGAAACATGACAAATATAATTTTTTTCTAGCCCAAAGGTTCAATACTAATGTAATGAACAGCGAACATACAGTGGCAATGCCAATTTCTTTCATAATATAAGTTTAATGGAGTTCCTTTAATTTTGTTAAGCTGTTTTAAGCACAATACTTTGGTCTAATATATTTTAGTTGAAATAGTTTGAGAACACTGGCCAAAATGAGGTTGATACAATTTTGCTTGAAATAAACATGTAATGAGTACCTCTGCAAGGTCTGGAACATCAATAGGATTATGGAGGAGTCCCATTGTCCACAGTTGGTGTGGGGACAAATGTTGCTCTGTCCTTAGAGGGTGATTATCCCAACCCATCCTGAAGACATTGAGATCCCTCTGAAGACGCGGAAGAAATACATGCTGGGCACAGAACATGTGGATGCTATCAGACGGATCTAGAACACCCTCATCCTCGAGGCTGTGAAGAACCTCGTAGTGCACGTTTGAAACAGCCATCCAAACATCTCGCCACAAACGTTCGATTCTGTTAAAATAAAAATCATCAAATTGGACAAAGCACAGTATATTCACAAATGATGGCTTTGTGTTTGTCATTGTTTGACATTACTTCAAAGAATGTACCTTTTGATTGTGCACACTTTTCCCTGACATGAAGCTTCCCCTTCCACAGCCCCTTATAGTGAACATGCATCGCGCTATGCCAACATTTTCCACTCCTTGGTCGGCTCTTACTCTTAAAAAGATGAATCACACACATGAAATAAAACATTACAAAAAGTTATGACATGGCATTTTTAAGATTTCTTAATGTAGAAGAAAATAGGCAAGTTATTTTTATTATCGTTTTTTAAAGACAGGTCAAAAATGAATATGTAATGGTATAATGGAAATAATCCTAAACATGGTTTGTTTGGAGAGACAGAAGGTGACTTAGTCATCAAGTATTCTATACGATATATGTTATCATCAATAGGGCTTTGGACAGATTGAGGTTGGTTTCAGTCAGATTTATTTAGAGAGTCGTAGTTACTTCCTGACTCGGTCGTGAATAATTCTCGGGTCATTTCAGTGATCAAAACATTGATCACTGTAAGTGTTATACAAACCATTATGCATCTTTTAATGACAGATAAGGCCCAAATTACTAAAGAGTACAACAGGGAGCCACACCTAATGTTGGCCTTACCTTAATGGAAAGCCATACTTTTGCACACCCTCCAAGAAGAAGTCAAGTGAAGTCGATGCTTTATTATTAGTGGCAGCACCCAGGTACATGATCTGCAGCAGAGAAAATTATTAAGCAGAATAAATAAAAGCAGATCTCTAAATGTGTTTAAAAACCAACACCAGACATTCTTGCTACAAGGTTTAAGATGGATACAAACTAAAAATATAGATATTTTGAAAGGAACTGTAAATCATGCATCAGGTTTAGTTATTAACCAATAACTGTCATTATCTGACTTATAAATAATCGTTATTTGTGAAAACAAAATTACCTTCCGTGAGAAGCCATCAATCCCTCCAAAAATAACAAGACCATATCTTTGAAAAACAACACAAAATCACTTTTAGTGTCTGTTATCTATTATGCAAACAACTGTGACAGGGCATTTTAAAACATAACTTTTTTAATTTGTACTCTATTATCCGTTATTGTAAATAGCATGTAAACATCAAATGTGTGGCGTACCTGATGAGTTTATGATTTGTGTCGATGTGTACCAAGTGCAGAGGACCCTGAACAGAATATGTCCTTCTTGCAACACACCCCACCCTTTCCATTCTTGTGAGTACACCCACAGAATCAACACGATGCATTGATGAAGACACTCTCTTCCATTGCACACGGTGACCCATGGCCTTCAGGATTCCTTTCATCATTCGATATCCTACATGTGGTGTCCTGGCCTTAACTGACCGAACCAAATTGTCTAGTTCATCATCAGTTAGGGTACTGTAGGACTGTTTTATGGAAAGGCCATTTTCATGCATGCGCCTTTTGACTGTCTTCTCAGATACACCCAGAAGTGTTGCTATGGCCGACACTGGTAGGGACAAGTCTTCTATTAAGCCTTGTAGTTGCTGAGGACAGACAACATATTTTGGTCGTCCCATTTCTCCTTGCATTACTGGCACCTGATGAGGGGTCTGATTAGAGATGTCTTCAATATTGACAAGCCTTGACAGCTCAGTCAAAGCATTGATAACATCCTGTGGCATATCAACCTGGCCTGATAGCGACCTAAAAAGAGCCATCTCCTGGTCCACTGCAAACTGCAAATAGTCAACATCTAAGGGCAGTCTTTGCGTGATCTGGGGGACATTCTAGTCAGTAGTCTCTGAAGAAAGTCCCTTTTCAGTTGCTCCTAGAATTGACAAACATCAATTTACCATATTGCACTGGATTAGTTCATGTTCAAATAATAAACAGCATGAAAACTATCGTTAAGGACATGTGCAAAGAAAATGACAATTATGCTTTGTAAACAAACTCTATAAATAGGTGATAAAATCAAAACATAATGTAAGTTATTACCAATCATTTAAAGAGAGGTGCTGTGTGAGCACGGTTATTAAAGTGTGTGCTGCTGCAGCCACAGATGAATTACGGTCGCCACTCTGGCAAAAACAGATTGAGAAACACGTGAGCTGGACTCTATCAACATAAGACAAATTCTCTTGCACGTACTATAGCTAATAGCACATGAGTAGCCTCAATGCCATGGTTAGTTTCCCGCGTTGCCACATTCATTCCCCACCTCAAAAGGCCTGCCTTCCTTTTATGTATGTCGCTATAATATTATAATCATGCTCTTGGATAACATCTAAGACCATGAATGGAACAAAGTTAATATTTCTTACCTGTGCGCTGGTGCCAGCCATGGAGCCAGCAGGTGGACCTGACGCCATCACAAAAGCCAAGCCAATACTATGCTGCGTTCAAGGAGCTACGTGGAAGTGGGGAAGGACAACGCTTCATTGCGGATACGTAATTTCACATTCTAGCACAGTTTATTGCTCTTATACCGCAATTTTTGCCAACTACGATGCTCAACAGCTCGCTTAACGGAACTTTGACGCTGGTATCAGTTTTGTTTACCACCAATCATGGGAGTATCGTGTATAGAAAGTGTGTAGTTGTATTTCTTGCGCTACCTAACATCCGTGAAGGCATCATGACAGAGAGAGGGCTGTCACTCAGGGTACCAAACTACTCTTTGGTAAGCCCCGCCCCCCGAAGCAATATCAGGGTCAAAAGTCTGAAAGCGAAAAAAAAAAGATCTGAAAGTGAAAAAAATAATTTGAAAGCGAAAACAAATAATTTGAAACTGAAAAAATAAAATCTGAAACTGAAAAAAACAAATATTCAAATATCAAAATATGTATAAAAGTGAAATATGAAAATACATATTTTATTCAAAAAAATTGCTGAACTGAATCAAAATAATATTCAACCTGAAAAATTATTTTAAATACTTTTTTTTGTTTTGAATACAACATTGTATTTTTCAAAGTTCAGGATGAAAACTTGGACTTTCAAATAAATTGTATTTTTTTGAATGATGAAAACTTATGACCCTGAAATAGCTCCATACGTTCGAAGCTTCAGTGTCAAACTGCCATCACTACCTCGGACTACAGGAGCTAGAATACAAGTAGTCAGATTGAGAGTTTGATGCAGAGAGAAACGGTGTGTTTAACGGAGTCTGCAGGAAAAGGTGATCTAGGAAACATGAGTAAAGTCCAGATGCTGCTGTCGTTGAAGAAGCAGCAACTCACTGCTGCTGAAGAGATATTTGCTCTGTTTGAACAAACGATAGCAGAGCTCGAGGAGGAGCTGTCTCTTTCCAAAGAGGAGAACAAGAGACTCCAGAAACTACTGGACGCTGTTTTACAGCCTCAGCTTCGGATACACAGAGCAGGTCTGTTCCCTTTACCCTTAATTAACACTTTACACTCTTCAGTAGCACTTTATTATCACAGTAATAACACTTTCAAGAGACGCTCTAACTGTTTTTCAAATGTAACAGTTTGAAAAGCAAACTGTCTGATTGTCTTTAGTTTTCCGCTGTCGTGTGATAGCAACATGGAGGATTTTAACATTAATTTTAATATATTTGGACAGCACAGTAATTTGGAGGAATGGTTAGTGGCTGATGAGTCCCCAGTGAAGAAAAGAAAAAGACAAGAGGGACAAGAAAACAGCGGAGAAGTAACGGGCAGAAACCCTCCTTTTTACTTAGCGGTCCAGACATAGACATCAAACGGCGACACATATTCAGTTGGCAGTTCCTTTGGCATTAGGGCAGGGATATCTAGATACTTTCCAAGGTTTGACATCATGAATTGTGCTACTTTTAAAGCAAGCAACGATGTTTTCAAATCTGTAATCAAAAAGCTTCTCAAAAACACTATCGAAGCATTTCCTGCCGTTGCTACGTTAGTTCAAACGGTAACAACGGACTATTTTTCTTAGCGGATGCATGTCAATTTAAATCAATACAACTATTTTTTAAATCAATAAAATAATTTTCTAAATCCATAAAAGCATTTCAATTAATATTGGGATTCATAACGTTACTTTGTTGAGAATGTGGCCATGTAATAAGCGGGATAATGTGCAGCAACTTGGTCATTATGGGGAAAAGAACACAGGAGCCTCCAGCAGGAGCCACAGGGTTCTCATCCGCCTCCAGTGCCAATTCTCCTTGAAGGGGGATTCTCTTTTTCACGCAGATGTTGTGCAGCACCGCAGTGGCAGCAATGATCACGCAGACGCGCTCAGGGTGCATTCGCATTTCACTGTGGAGGCAGTGAAACCTACAAAAAAAAAGCAAAAAACAATTTAGCCTATATCTACATTAAAAGGCTGGCCTTTTATATATTATAAAAATGACTTACTAACCTACGTTTGAGCACTCCAATGCAGCGCTCTACAATGTTCCTCGTTTGTGTATGCTTGTCGTTATAGCGGCGCTCTTGTGCAGTTCTCTCTGCGATGACAGGTGTCATTAGCCAGCGCTTCAGAGGGTATCCACTGTCTCCGAGAAGAAGACCATTCACTCTCCCTGCCTCAAATTCCAGTTGAAGTGCGCTCTATCTCAGGATGCGAGCATCATGGGTCGACCCAGGCCATCTTGCAACGAGGTCGACAATGCCCATGTCCGAGTTGCACACAATTTGAACATTTATCGAATGGTAACCCTTTCTATTAACATACAAATACTCATGTTCAGAGGGGGCCTGAATGCGAACATGAGTACCGTCGATGCATCCGATAATACCAGGTATACCTGATTTTAACAAAAGATCTTGCCTGGATTTCGCTGCTTCTTCTTGTGTGGGTAGGTGCATATAGTTCCTAAGGCGGTGCTGGAGGGCCAATGAAACTTGTCTTATAGCCCGACATGCAGTTGTGCGATGAACATTAATCATGTCTCCCACAGTATTTTGAAAGGCCCCATTCACGTAGAATCTGAGCGCAATCAGCACCTGCAAGGTTGGGGAGAGCGCAGCGTTTCGGTCTGATCCGTGCTGGAGTTGAGGGGAGATCTCCTCGATTCAATCACAAAGGGCTTGTCTGCCGAAACGAAACCTCTCTATCAGTTCACTGTCTGAATAGATGTCCAGTGGGTTTGTTCGATCACGGGCGACTCTTTCTCTTCTTAATGCCCTTTCATTGTTAAACATGTAAACAAGATGCCCTGCCATCGTTATTATCCTTCTTGCCTGTGTATCTCGAGCCGGTTTCTCAAACTTAACTACCCCACCTTTAACTAGAATTATCTAGTTAACAAAAAAGTTTTAACAAATCCAGAATATTATTTATATTTTGCTGGCTACTGCAGAATGCTGTGGTAAACCATGCTGGTTAAGGGTGCCTTGAACTCTGAATAAATCACCAACTGTGACACCAGTAACCCCCCCCCCCCCCCACCACCATCACTATCTCACCCCCTCCTCCATGCTTCACGGTGGGAACCACTCATGCAGAAACCATCCGCTCACCTTCTCTGCGTCTCACAAAGACACGGAGGTTGGAACCAAAAATCTCATTTGGACCCATCAGACCAAAGTACAGATTTCCACTGTCTAATGTCCAATCCTTGTGTTTCTTGGCCCAAACAATTCTCTTCTTCTTGTTGTTCATCCTCAGTAGTGGATCTTTGCAGCAATTGGACCTTGAAGGCCTGATTCACGCAGTCTCCTCTGAACAGTGGATGTTGAGATTGTCTGCTACTTGAGCTCTGTGATCATTTATGTGGGCTCTAATCTGAGGTGCTTTGATTTGCGGTTTCTGAGGCTGGTAACTCTGATGTGTTTATCCTCTGAGCAGAGGTAACTCTTGCTCTTCCTTTCCTGGGGGGGTCCTCGTGAGAGCCAGTCTCATCATAGCGTTCCATGGTTTTTGCGACTGCACTTGAGGATACATTCAAAGTTCTTGACATTTTCCGGATCGACTGGCCTTCATTTCTTAAAGTGATGATGGACGGTCGCTTCTCTTTACTGAGTTGAGTCGTTCTTGCTATAATATGGATTACAACTACAACAATTATCTGCCTGGCCGATTATCGGGGCCGATATTCCGCATTTGACCGATTATCGGTATTGGCCTTTTTTAATAAAATTGCCGATAACACTTTGGCTCTGATGCGGCCGTTTCTCTGGCTGCAGTCACCACTCTCTGTACACGAGCAATGTCCCGCCCACAGCGCTACCTGATAGGCTATTACTGAAGTGTCAATCAACACTGAAGATTTTCCGGGCGGGAGCCAGCCATAGAGGCGGGACCTTCTCAGATTACAGGCAGGTGCGAAGAACACAGACAGAGGCAAGCAGCAGCGCTGAGCGGCAGAGCCATACATGTGTTTCGAAGGTAAATCAGTTGAAAGCCGAAGTTCAATAAACATCCCAATCCCCTATGCTGAAGTTGCAAAAACAGCACGATCTATTGATCCAATTCTATCAGCTTCCCAGTTACACAGGGACGCGGGAAGCCAGTCAGAGTTGGGGGTGCGTGCAGCGTCTCGCAGCGGAGTAACTGCGGTGCGGAGGGGGGCTGCGAGTGGATCCTCGCAGTTTTTCAGGTTGATATGTGAAGCTCATTAGCTAGCCAACATGTATTTAGCAAATGTTTAGCAAAATATTAGAAGTGAGGCGACTAGTCTAACGTTAGGTCTACTGTAATAGCCTCACTTTTAATAGTTTG